CACTGATTCAGCACAATTTACACTTTCACATATAGAGTGATCGCACTTAAGCCGTGCAACTGTACAAAATAAGTAGTACTATTTAGATGTTTTTAGTAACGTGCATGCGGTTCTCAAATTAAATTGAATTGATATAAATGAAGAATTCAATGCCGTCTTGCTTCAGGTCCACTTTTAGTACAAATTAGATTTTGTACAGTTGCACGGTTTAAGTGCGATCAATCTAAAACATCCTTTATTGTACAAAAACCTGTGAAATACAATTTAGCGTTCTACACTTGAATCCTGTATATTTTGTTCATTTTTCTTTTCGGTTTTCACATCAAACATGAATTATTACACTATAACAATTGCRCTCTGTTTCACGGGTTTATGACTACTGAAACAMTGACAACATYAGCCTCCTCCACAGACATCACTAAGAATCWCGGGCTTCCTGTCTTTTTGGGGAGTCACTAGTCCTTAGCGSCCAAGAGGACCGTTACAAAGGAAGCCYAAAGGAGCAAAAAAAATATACATCTACTCACCGTTTCAAGAAGAAAGTGTAGTTCAGACCATGGTACGCATGGTACTCGTGCACCGTCTCATTCCAATTTTTATCCACGCATATATCATCMCCCAAACCGAGCCCTGTCACGTTAATRTATTCAGGTAAMGCACCTCCCTTGATCACGCAATGWATCTGTAAGCTCACATTATACGGCTCGGTACTGCAGTTGTGTCCAGGGACGATAGGCGTCGAAGTGTTAAGCGGTATCGTTGTTGGAGCAGGCGTCGTTGTTGTAGGCTCTGGCGTCACGTACTCTGACGTTTGATTGGTCGAGTTTGAGCTCAGTGAGATATTTAGCCTGTCAAATATTGCCGTTGTGGTGGGGGGAGGGGTGGTTGTTAACGGTGCTGGCTTTTTACAAGGACTGTCAATGACCTACAGACATAAGAGCAAGCATTTGTTGATTCGTATTGTAATTCAGGCATTCAAGAAAAATCTCCAATCTCCTTCACTGTTAAGTGCGCCATCTTGAAAGATAGCCGTGCCTTTGCATCGAAGCGAGACGACCGTTGAGCGTACAATGATAGATACCTGTGAATAATTATCTTTAGGTGTGAAATAGGGTTTCTATCATTGCACGCTCAACGGTCGTCTCGCTTCGATGTAAAGGCACGGCTACCTTTTAAGATGGCGCACTTAACAGCAAAGGAGACTATTTCCATTTTCTAGTAAAATCAAGCAAAAATGAAAACAAACATAGTTTGTCTGTGGAAAAATCAAAACTAATTAGTGTTTGTACGATTTTAGCCCATAACACATTGCAAACCGATTCAAAATGGCGGGCTTGTAATATGGATTATGAATACACCATCGTTCAGTAGCCAATCAGAATGCTGGATTTGTGATACTAATTAAACTTAAAACTGAGTCTGCGTCACAGACAACTGGAGCACTGACATCGTTGCTCCCTTATTTACTTATTTATCAATCCCAAAATGCAAATTTTCACAAGGCTTTCCTCGGGTCGTAGTAAGGACTATGGGGTACACGGGAAAAAATCGCGCGCTTTAAAGGTTGTAAATTTGATATCAATATGATGTAAGTGTCCAAAATTCTGTAAATTGAATGGAAATCATTTACATCAAATTTAGAGAATTTTGGACACTTACATCTTATTTACATCAAATTTACAACCATTAAAGCGCGCTATTTTTTCCAGTGTTAGACCATGCTCACACCTGTGTCCAACAAAATGTGCGAATTTCTGGAAACTTTATGCTTACCTCTGCATAAACAATAATATCAGCRTCAATACTTCTTTGTACAAGAGTTTGTGGTTCCCAGTACATAAAGTCGTAAGGACGTGAGCAAAATCCATAGACATGCTTGGTGTAGGCTCCCAGGATTATCAACAAGCTTACATACATTTTGGGCGTTTCTTCGATTTACCTAAAYGCAGAAAAATACATCGCATCACATGAGCTGAGAACGGATTCCCATGGCTTATTGATTTATATCATAGCTATCATAGTACGCGCTCTCTGATTGGTCAAATGTTGTTTTTTCACCGGTAAACGCACTTGCGATTTTTGCAGCGCTATAATCGCCACTTTGCTATCGCGCAACTAAAATCGCTATTTTTCTCTCGCTTTCTCGTCGGATGAGAAAAGTAGATCTGTTCGTAGAGCATCGTACGTCAAACAGCCCTGCGATTGTTTCGACGATGTAAAATCGCCGCGAAGTTACACTGAGCCAATTTGCAAGCATGTTCGAAACTCAGGCGATGGTCGCGCGACGATCGCTGCRAGAATCGCTCTGCAAAAATCGCAAGTGTAAAAATGCATTTTCGCTCGGCAATGATGAAAATATTCAGAATAAATGGGAAATGATTATACGCAGAATCTATCAAATCAATCGCGGATCGCGGTGCTTATTCCACGGCAAAATTCTCTACACACTTGACGTAACCTGGACTCGGTGTGTTCCACGAAATGGTACTCGTTACTATATTATAAGGTTTTTCATGGTTTTAGTGTTTACTTTTAAGGATTTTGGACAGGCGGTACAAGCGGATAGTGATTACTGCATGCCCAACATATTGTGCGTCGTTGAAAAAAAAAAAATAWATAWATATATAAACTGCGTATGTTAAAAGAAATTCACAAAAACGTAAAATTTTGAAAGGTACAAATTGTGTGAATTGTTAGCTGCCCTAAGACTTTTGAATACAAACACAACAAAAATCAAACATACCTTAATCTTGCAAAAGAATATCTCTCCCCACAAGTTTCAGCGTAAAATGCAGAATATATCAAGTCTATCACGTTATAGCGGCTTTGCAGTGACTTCAGCTTTGATTTACAGGTGTCTCAAAAATATTTTATTAACCGACCAATCAAAATTTAGGACACTATGACGCAATTGAAGGCACGTGAATATTTGTGAMTTTCTAATGAAGTTTACGAGGAAACACCCCGCTTGTTTGCTAGGTCAAGTGTTTGGTGCTTACAGTCAAAAGAAATGAAGCGCGCCMCCTCAAAACACAATTATTCAATTCATTATTCGATTCTTGGTCGATTCAACATTACATTATTGAAATCAAATTTCAATTCAAACTTCGAGATTTGATTGGATTATAATGATTRTTGATAGGATTTTAAGAAAGCCTTCTTCGTATTTCGCTTGTAAACATGCTGGTCTTTTGTAATTTCCGTGACAAGTCGATGCATTTCAATGTGCTGTCTGTTAATTTGGTTGGATCTGTTCCTTCTCGTGAGAAAGGAATGACGGTCTCAGTTGAAAATG